CAAAATTCCAAAGGGAAGACAGAGGGCACTGGGCTACCCAGAAAGTAAGTCCTTATCTAGATGACCTTGAGCATGAATAAGATGTAGTGCAAGAAGCAGCCTCCCACCTCTAGCAAAAGCAAGCCCAGGGCAGCCCACCCACAAGTTCAAGGACCTGTGGGATGTTGGAGAATAGTGTCAGAGTATTTGTTGAATGGATAAATGACTCTAAGTAGGGGCCAGAGTAGATGGTGTTGGAGGCAGAAGTAGGCTAGGAGCAGCAACAGCCGCGTCTGCCATGCTGAATGTGGACCAAGATGGCAGCCTCATGGGACAGTGCCAATAGCTTTCCCTGGCACAGCACTTCCTGTGTGCCCCAAGCACTGAATATCTACTCATGGTGACTCATTACTTCTCCTAATAGCCCTGTATAATAGCTCTATTATCATCACCCTTGATTTACAGACACGGAAACTGAGGCATAAAGACATGAAGAAGCTGGCCAGGGTTACACACACCCAGACACTCTGCCCATGCATTAACCATTGTGTTGTGCCTCTCAATTTTATTCTTTTATTTATTTATTTTTTCAAATTGAAAGACTGAGAGAGATAGACAGAGATCTCCCATTTATTGGTTTACTTCCCAAACAGCTACAACAGCCAGAGCTGTGTCAGGCTGAAGCCAAGAGCTGAGACGTCAATCCAGGTCTCCCATGTAGGTGGCAGGAAGCTGACCACCTGAGCCAATGCCTGCTGCCTCCCAGCGCAGGCATCAGCAGGAAGCTGGAGTTAGGGGCAGAGGTAGGGCTCGAACCCAGGCATGCTGCTCGGGAACACAGGCATCCCAAGCAGAATTCATAACCACTGCACCAAACACCTGTGCCTCCATTTAGGTCTCCCCTCCCCTTTCAGCCCAGCTACTCCACAAGGGCCACCTTCAGGGGTCTAATTCTTTGGGTCCATGTTGTCGCCTGTCTACTGAGCAACTCCATGCTGCCGACCACCTCGGGTCAACATCAAGTCAACGTCAGAGGGGCGGGATGGTGGTGGACTGTATCAGGCTGGAGGTGGGGAAGGTGGGGGCAGTGAGCAGTTTGAGGCTCTATATTGGAGGTAACGGTGAGAGGATTTCCTGATGGTTTGGACGTGGCGGGCAAGAAGAACACTTGCAGCTATGCATGAAAGGGTATGCATGTGCCTTGGGTAATATAATGCATGTGAAAACCACATGGGTCCTAAACACGTAAAGGAAGCAGGTGAGGGAAAGGAGGAGAGCGCGCCACAAAGAGGCTGCAGGGTGAGCGAGCTCTGAGCTGGTCCCTGCTGCCAGGAGCACGACGCAGCCTGTGTTTGTGCGGGGTTTTGGCTGTGACACTGAGTCTGACACCTGCTGCGGGCACCTGCGCCAGCCTGGTCCATGCCTGCTGTCGCCGCAGTTACCAGCAGTGGCCCTGGCTACCGGGAGCGTGCGGGAAGACGCCCTCAGACGTCTTTGGAGATTGCCTCGGCTGCAGGAAACAGCCTTGCCCAAGGTCACACCCCCTTGCAGAGGTGACTGCGACCCAGCGACTGAACGAAAGGCTGCCACCAAGGCCAGGCCCTCATCCTGCCTGGAGACGACACTGAGGGCCCCTCACTTCCTCGGGTGCCCTGAGTGCTGGCTGGGCCCTCGCTGAGACCACACAGCGTCTCAGCCTCTCCCTCGGCCCCGTCTGGCTCCCATCCCTTCCTTTTCATGGTGTCAATGCCCAAGCTGGGTCCACACTCAGCATCTGCTTCCCGGCAGCTCGACCTGCAGCCTTCACCTTCTCTCTCAGAAGTGAGCCCGTCGGGAGGATGAATGACACCATCTCCCTCGCCGCGTGACACACACAGACCTCAGCGTGTGCCACGTTTACTGTCCACACTTATTTAACGGCACTGGACCGGGAGCTCCAGGAGGCAGGAATGTGAAGCCCTCACTCCTAGACCTACAGAGCCAAGGCCTGTCACGGCAGGTGTTCAAGAAGCATTTGTTGAATGGGTGACTAAAGACCAGGACAGCTCCACGGAGGGGGGAGGGGAGGAGACTGCTCTGAGCTGCTAAGACCCAAAAAGTAGCAGCAGGATCAGCGCCCCCACCCCAACCACCTGCCTTGGCTTTGAGCTCCCCCTGGGGTGTCTCACCTCCTGCCAAGGACGTCCCACCCCTGACTCTAACTCCTGTTTGTGGCTCCATCCGCTTGTTCATCCCCTCCTTTATGGGATACCTACTGAGCCAGTCCCCACGTGCCAGGCTCAGAGCAGGACACTGGGACACATGGGTGACTACAAACCAGGCCTTCATCCTCCAGGACAGGTGTGCCAGCGACGGCTGAGGCAGTGTGAGAACTCCTCAAATACCACGCCCACCCTGACTTTGATTTTAGCAAGACTTCCACCGCACTGATGCTGGGTGGAGAGAGGAAAGGGAAACCCCGGGTTTGTCTGCAACCTCCTCGTGGCGCTGGTCCCTTGGCATGGACTTCCTAAGAACCTTGCCCTGCCAGGGTTCCCTGACCCCCACTGCTGGTGGCCCTCCTGAAATCCATTAGTCCTGTGGCCCAGCCCGAGCTCACAGAGCCTCCCAAGGTGGCAACTCCCTAACCATTAAAACCACCTGGCTCAGGTGCTCGTTCCTAGGTGAACACTGTGTTTTAGGATTGTTTATTTATTTCTCTTTATTTGAAAGGGAGAGAGAATATTCCGTATGCCCATTTACTCTCTGAGTACAAACAACAGCCAGGGCTGGGCCAGGCCAAAGCAAGGAGCCTAGATTTCAGTCTGGGTCTTCCACGTGGGTCGCAGGGACTCAGGTCCTTGAGCCGTCACCTGCTGCCTCCCAGAGCGTGCATTAGCAGGAAGCTGGAATCAGAACAGGAGTTGGGACTCAAACCCAGATGCTCCCAAATAGGATGTTGGCATTTCAACAGGCAGTTAATACTGTGCCAGACACGTTCCCTGAGAGCGTATTTTAAAAGAAACCTTCTGGAGGTAATGGCCTTGACTTGGCAGCCAACTCCAGACCAGGTGAGCAGAGAGCTTGCTCCTGGGCAGGAAGAGAAGTAGACCTGGAGACCTGCCCACGTCTGCGCAGCAGGCAGCCACCCAACCAAGTCGGTGAGATTCCCGGGAGGCCCAGCTCGGATCCTGGAGGAAAGCTGGAGCCAGCCCAGGGAGTTGGCAGTGCCCAGGGGAGCTGGCAGACCAAGCCAGCTCTCTCCCCGCCCTCCCTGCTTCCCGTTCTCATCTCCTGTTAGTCAGATGGGGCCTTGGCTGCTGTGGGAAGTTCAGCCGCGATGCAGAATTCCAGGAACTCCAGGCTGAGCACACTCCTGGCTGCTTTCTCAGTTCCCTTTTCCTTCTTAAAGGTCTCTGGTGCAGGAACTCAGCCCCTTGACCTTCCAGGCTGAATCCTGGCCGAATGCCTCTGCGCTGCCCCCCCCCCCCCGTACCCCTCCCCCAATTACACTTCTCCCTTCTTAGAGTCTCTGAAAGTCTTAGAAGGTCACCACTGGAAAGGACCGTGAAGATGGCAGAAGAGGAAGCTGAGAGCCCCTAGCCCAGGGAGGTGCCTCCCCCTGACTGCTCCCACCTCCCCGAGCCCCCAGCCTCAAGGGTGCAGCCATTCCTTGGGTGCCAAGTCCTGTGGAGCCCTCTTGCAGCCAGAACTGCTTCTGCAGGTGATGAAATAAAAAGGGTGGGGGTGTTGCTGGCAACTTCCATGCACAGGATAGGAAGGGGAAAGGCAGACAGCGCTCTCACCCCACCTCCAGCAGCACAGAAGGGGCAGAATTTTCTAGAAGGATGAAGGACTGTCCGTAGAGGGTGTCTGAGTTCCAAGCAAAAGGAAGATTGAAAAGTGACTCCAGGCAAAAGGGGGGGGTAATGTCTTTGCAGAATTTAGCAGCAGGCTTCTCTTGGCCTGTGACTGAAACTGAAATGATGATGATGCAGTATGAAGGCAGGATCCTGTAAGCTCCCCTGCCCTGTGCCCCCTCCTCCCTCCCTCCTGGGAGCTGCAGAGAGTGCCGGGAAAGATGAGCTGTGTCCTGCCTTCTTGCAAGATGTCTGTCCGTTTATTTATTCCGTTCTCTCTTCAGCAAACATTTGTGAGCTCCTGTTCCAGACGCTGATGTTGTAACTGTAGATGAGTTAGATGTGGTGTCTGTCCTCACAGGGTGCACAAGTGAAGAATGCCGCCATGGGAGCAGGCATTTGGCCTAGCTGTGGAGGTGCAGGTTAGGGCGCCCACGTCCCACACTGGAGACCCGCCTGGTTCAAGTCCTAGCTCCGACTCCTGTTTCAAGCTTCTGGCTGCTACACACCCTGGGAGGCAGTGGTGATGGCTCAAACAATTGGTCCCTGCCACCCACATGGAAGACCTGGATGGAGTTCTTGGCTCTGCTTCTTTGGCCTAACCCAAGTCCAACCATTGCAGGCATTTGGGGAGCGAACCAGTGGATTGGAGTACATTCTCTCCCCCCACCCCAAAATGAAAAACAGAACGTCACCATTGTGTGGGATAAAGTGCTATGAGGGCAGGAGGAGGAGGAAGCATGGAGGGACCACAGATGAGAGCCGGTCAGCAAGAACTGAGCACAGGGAGGAAACCAAGGCCCTGGAGGACAACTGGTTGGCCAAACGACGGTGCCTCAGACCCATGGGGGTTAATTTTCCCCAAGATCACACACCTCATAAGGGACAGTCCCCAGCTCAACTCCCCAGCTTCACGGACTGACTGGTCTGAATGCTGACCTTGCCACTTTCTAGCTCAATGCCCTTGCGTAACTTACTGAACTTTTCTGTGCCTCAGTTTCCTCATCTGTAAGATGGGAGTATAAGAAACCTGTCTCATTGGACTGTTTGAAAAAATTACATGCATTTGTATAGCAGTTCTCTCAAAGCCTGACTCTTGGACCCCCTGAAATTCCCCAGGACTCTTTCCAGGGGTCCATGAAGTGAAAGCTAATTTCATAGTAACACTAAGACTTGACTTACCTTGATGCTGTCAGGTGTGTTTGCAGGGACCGTACAATGTTCTAACACCACCCGGAATGCAGGTGTGAGCCCAGCCTGTCTCTGATTAAGCTAGGCCTCAGAGGGATCTGCAAAAATACAAAGCAATGTCACTCTGTTCACTAGATATTTTTTATTTCACAAAATATAGCTATTTTCCTAAAGAATTTTACATATTAACATGTATTGAGCTTTTATTCATATTATTCATATTTTTAACATCCTCAGTTTGATCTGGTAATACCTTCAACGTGAATAACGCGTCCAGCAGTGTGCTGGGGCCAGCTGGCTGTACCCACGTCCTGCACTTCACACTCTGTGACGCCAGGTTGGGATCTGGAAATTGGTAGGGGTGGAAGTGTTTACACCATGGGAAGTTGCAAACACTATGCAAATCAGGACTTTTCTCCAGGGAACCAAGTGGTAAACATTTACTATCCCATCACCAGATAAAAATCGGTATAAACAGAAGTTTTGGGGGTTCTCAAGAAATTTTATGATCCAGCCAAAAGGTTCGTGAGCCACTGAATTAGCACTTTTTTAAATGCTTAAACCAGTGCTTGCTGCCTGCTACATTCACATAGTTCCTCAGGGACCGTCCATCTCCACCAGAATTCAAAGCTCAAAGACTTAACCTCTCGGCCTTACTTTTTGTTGATTATTTCCCAAGCGTCTAGATGCTCCTCCTATTGCCTTGGACTCTGCTTGCTGCCCACCCCCACCTCACCCCTCCATTCAACCCTGGTCCCTCTCATCTACCCCCACAAAGTTCCTCTGCCTCCAGGCCTTAAGGCACCACCCACCTCCTGGATGCATGGCCCAGAGAAGGCCAGAGACTCATCACCACCCGCTTGGCCGAAAGCACATTTATGACTCCCCTCTGTTTACACTTCCAACCACCAAACCAGCCAGGGTGGTCACAAGCCCTCTGCGGTTGTGGGCATTGTTCAGAACGTTCTGGTTGGAGAGGTCCTCCAAGGCCAACTTGGCTGTGCTTGTTTCAGCACACTATATTTTAGGAGGTTTTTGGAGTGCACCTCGGCCACACAGAGCTCCTCTGAGCACCTCCAGGGTCAGCAGCAACAGCAAGGCCAAGGCACGGGGTCGGGGGAAAGTCGGGGAGCTGCGCTGGGAAAATGGAAATCAACAGTGGTTTCTTGGGACCTGTGCTGTGGTATAGCAGGTTAGGCTGCCGCCTGTAGTCCCAGCATCCCATATGGGTGGCGTTTCGAGTCCCGGCTGCTCCACTTCTGATCCAACTCCCTGCTGATGCTAACGCACCTGGGAAAGCAGCCGAGGATGGCCCAAGTCCTTGGCAGAAGGAGCGCCTGGCTCCTGGCTTCTGCCTGGCCCAGCCCCAGTCATTGCAGCCATCTGGGGACTGAACCAGCAGATGGAAGATCTCTCTCTCTCTCTCTCTGTAACTCTTTCAAATAAATAAATAAATATTTTTTTTAAATTTGGTTTATTGCCAGCGCTGTGGCTCAATAGGCTAATCCTCCACCTTGCAGCGCCGGCACACCGGGTTCTAGTCCTGGTTGGGGCGCTGGATTCTGTCCCAGTTGCCCCTCTTCCAGTCCAGCTTTCTGCTGTGGCCCAGGAGTACAGTGGAGGATGGCCCAAGTGTTTGGGCCCTGCACCCCATGGGAGACCAGGAGAAGCACCTGGCTCCTGCCATCGGATCAGCGCGGTGCGCTGGCCGCAGCACACCGGCTACAGCGGCCATTGGAGGGTGATGAACCAACGGCAAAGGAAGACCTTTCTCTCTGTCTCTCTCTCTCACTGTCTACTCTGCCTGTCAAAAAAAAAAAAAAAAAAAAAGAAAGAAAGAAAAAAGAAAAGAAAAAGAAAAAGAAAAAAAATTGGTTTATTAACAGAAAGAAAGTTTATGACCAGATGCTTAGTGAAAGATAAGCCTAGGAATCACCCAGCACATAATAAACAACAGTCGATGATAAGCAGACCAGCCACGTAGGAGAGAGCAAGGAGGGGCCAGGAGAGCCCAGCTTTGCCTCCTTCTTCAGCGATGCCCTGACCTCAGCCGTGCGCACAGCACCTTCCACATCTGACTCCCATCCCTGTTATTTACCTAAACTTCTTCACTAAATGGACTCACCTTTCTCCTTTAAGTTAGGTTATCTTGAAAGAAACCTTCCTTTTTAAAAAGGAACCTTCCTGTTTTGACTCTAGGTGGGAAATCAGTATCATTCGCTACCCAAAAATCAATGGAATCATAACCAAACACTGTCACTAGACTCCAGCTGGGTTCCACGGCCTAGGAAACTCCAAACCTGAGGACAATGCTTCCCATCTTACAGAGATTAGTGAGGGCACCGGTTCAAGTCCCAGCTGCTCCACTTCCGATCCAGCTTCCTGCTAGTGTGCCTGGGTAAAACAGTGGAGTAGGGCCCAAGTGCTTGGGCCCCTGCCACCCATGCAGAAGACCTGGTGAGGCTCCTGGCTCCTGGCTTTGGCCTGGCCCATCCCCAACCATTTCAGGCATTTGGAGAGTGAACTAATAGATGGAAGATCTCTCTCTCTCTCTCTCTGTCCCTCTCTCTCAGTAGTTCTTTCAAAAAACTTAATTAACCTTTGGGGGAAAGAAAGATGAAGGAGAGTAAGACAAAGGTATTGAAGACACAGGGGTGGAGGGCATGGGCAGGTACCATGGCACAGCAGGTTAAGCTGCCACTTTGGACACTCTCATCCCATACTGGAGCCCTGGCTACTCTGTGCTCCCAATGCAGCGCCCTGCTAATGTGCCTGGGAAGGCAGCAAATGATGGCCCAAGTGCTTGGGTTCCTGCCACTCATGTGGGAGACTTGGATAGAGGTCCTGGCTCCTGGCTTCAGCCTGGCCCAGCCTTGGCTGTTGCAGGCATTTGGGGACTAAACCAATGGATGAAAGACCTCTCTCTCTGGCTCTCTATCCCTATTCTCTGTCACTCTGCCTTTCAAATAAATAAATATATATTTAAAAAGCCACTGGCACCAAAGTGAGCCTTTCTCACTTTCAATGTGAGATTTTCTTCTTGAGTTAATTAGAAGAATTGAATGAAAGTGTGAGCCACTTCTAGGAATTTATTCCCTGGCCATTCTCCACAATAGAATGCTGCCCCAGGACATGAGGACTCCATCTGTGTGTTCACTGCTCTACCTCTGGTGTCTAGAGGCAACCTGGTACATCGTAGGTGCTCAGTAAGCATCTGGTGACTGAGTGGATCTGTTAACCTGCAAAAGGGAGTAAGTAGAAGAGTATATACTTCGGGTCCAACACCATGGCATAGCGGGTAAAGCAGTGCCAGCATCCCATATGGGCGCTGGTGTGAGTCCTGACTATTCCATTTCTGATCCAGCTCTCTGCTGTGGCCTGGGAAAGCAGCAGAAGATGGCCCATGTGCCCCTGCACCCACATGGGAGACCCAGAAGAATCTCCTGACCCCTGGCTTCAGATCCGCACAGCTCTGGCTGTTGCGGCCAATTTGAAAGTCAACCAGTGGATGGAAGACCTCTCTCTCTCTTAAATAAATAAATCTTTTTTTTAAAAAAGTGTATACTTCAAGAATTTTTTTAAGATTTGTTTTTATTTATTGAAAGGCAAAGTTACAGAAAGAGAGGGAAAGAGAGAGAGAGAGAGAGAGAGAGATCAGTCTTCTATCTGCTGGTTCGCTCCCCCAAATGGCTGCAATGGAGCCTGAATTCCATCTGGATCTCCCATGTGGGTGGCAGGGGTCCTAGCACTTGATCCACCCTCCGCTGCTTTCCCAGATGCATTAGCAGGAAGCTGGATCAGAAATGGAGCAGCCAGGACTAAAACTTACATTCATATGAGATGCTAGTGTCACAGGCAGTGGCTTAATCCTGCCGCGCCACACCACTGATCCCATAGGAAATGGCTGGAAACAAGTAAGTCTGTCAGTAGGTGACCAGGTAAAAGACATACAGGCCATACGAGGGAACAATGTGCAGTCTCTATAAAGAACAAGGCAGCTCTGTGTGTACTCTGTGGAACTCACAACTATGTTAAGTGAAATAAGTTACGAGCAGTTGTTTGGAATACACTCCTGCTAATTGTGGAGGACACTATATGAATGCATGTGTTTGTAGATACACAAAACACTTCTGGAAAAACACACAAGGAATTAAAGAATGGTTGCTTCCAAAGAGGGGAACGTGGGTCAGAGGTGATGGAAGTGTCCTATCAAAATCTGTTCAAAGCACACACACATCCACTATTCAAGAAATAGACAAATCTGAAAAGAATTGGATGGGGAAGTACCTCAGCCTGAGACCTAACATGACCGAGAGCTGGGGCCCACCACACAGTGCCTGGTGCACCCCGGGGCCCCCATACCCTCTCGGGGCCACCACAGTTCCATGAAAGCTCTGCAGGCACTCAGGGCTGGTGTGCAGCCGTCCTGGCTCCGCAGACTCCTGTCTGCCCTCGTCGCTGACTCTCAGCACCTGGGCTTTCCCTCCACCTGATTCGAGCATCCTTTATCTTAACCAGGAAAAACAGACCTTGCTCCCGCTCAGCCCATCAGCACGAACAGTCTCGTAATCTTTGACCAACATTCCCAGGGTCCTTTCCAGTCCATTAAGTCACCCAGCCTCTTCCAAGGCTTTCCCCAGGCAAGGGGTCCCTTCCTCAGAAAGCAGGAGAGGTGCTCTCAGCCCACCCATGCTACAGACCTAGCCCTCTTTTCTGGTTCCTCGTGTTGCACATTCCCTGATAAGCATACACTCATCACACGTACTGAGGCTTTTGCCTTATGTGTGATTCAGTTGGGAATTCTCACTTTTACCAATCTCACTGTGCCAACCACTAGTGCGTGAAGCAAGCCCAGCTCCAGTGGCTTGATTTTTTTTTTTTTTTTTTTTTTGACAGGCAGAGTTAGAGAGAGAGAGAGAGACAGAGAGAAAGGTCTTCCTTTTCCTTTGGTTCACCCCCCAAATGGTTGCCATGGCCGGCACGCTGTGCCGATCCGAAGCCAAGAGCCAGGTGACACTCCTGGTCTCCCATGCGGGTGCAGGGCCCAAGGACTTGGGCCATCCTCCACTGCACTCCCTGGCCACAGCAGGGAGATGGA